TCATCTCTAGCAATATATGTGTACCTACTAACGCAACAGTGTAAGATAATGTACTTTACCTTTGTGATTAATCACGAGCGGTACCCGCCTTCGCTAAATGCCAAAATTTATTCGTTGATGCGGTTACCGAAAATTAATTATCCTTTGTGTAAAAGGTAACCTGTCGCAGTTTACACTTCTACAACAACCCCCAAAGACAATACGAATCATCTCATTGGTCCCATCAGCTTTGAATGGAAGCTTTAATTAAACCAACTCGTCGCGAAAAAAGTCGAACAGTGTTTTATAATAAGCACTGGGGGGAAAAAACGAGCGTTATTATTATTAATTGCCCAAGGGCGAACGCGTCCGCTTTTACTGGATTTGCATTAAACCACTAAAATATAAAAGGAAAGGCAAAAAGCTGTGTGTGAAATTTCTCCACGCTTATTGAAGTAAAGACAATGGCGTTCCATCATTCTTGCGCGACGCAGAAAATAACACACGACCCCCTATCAACAAATCCCAGTTGGTTATGTATTCGTGCAGCCTCTAACACGATGTCCTTATTTCACCCCTAAATTACACCGGCAAATGATTACGCCACTCACAGCCCTCGCGGCCAGTAAAATATGTAGAACGCCTTTTGTTTTACTTCTCGGGTCCAAATCGGGAAAAATAAACAATCGTGATCACCTAATTAGGTGACTTTTTTTCTTTATTTTGTTTGCAAGGGAAGTTGTAACAAAAGGACGTTAATGAGGGATCTTTAACTTGATGGAGGACGTTTAATTTTTTGCTGCTGATCGATACAGCCCGCTGATTGGGATTGCTCGATTCTATAACCAAATATACGCTCTTGAAACTTTCATTTGTTAGTGTAGGTTCTGTTTATGTAAGTTTGAATACATTCCTTATGATTAATAATAGTGCACGCATTTATATGGACAATTTTATTGAACTAAATCAAAACCATTTTTAAAAGTCCTAGGTAAATGAGTTCATAACTTATAAAGCTATATAATACAGGGCGGCTTCAATTAGCCAATTGATTGATTCCTTTCAGAATACTAATTTTTTTGGGAAACTATTAAAACAAATATCATTTAGGTCAATTTTCTCAGAGAGAATCAACCCTTAATTTTATATAAACAGAAATTTACAGTACCTCTTAGAGAACATCCTTTGGAAACTATGGTTTTTCGTACAATGCAAAGTGGGAACGGCCCTTTGTGTCGAGGGTACCTTTGGAATTAAGCTAAGGACGATTGCAAATCAAACCTGAGGGATGGCTGCCTGTAATGGGTTCAGCATTTATTGTTTGCATCAGACGACATTTCTGCTACTACTGAAAATCTTTTTAACTGCCACACTTTTGATTTCCGAAAAGGAAAATTTCACTAATCAGGAAATCTCACACTCATTTTTTCTGGTGATAATGAAGGGCAATAATGCGGGCAAAAAAAATTGCTTGTTATTACACGTTCTAGATAGAGGACATTTTTTTATTTTCTTACAAGAAAAATTATCTTAACGGACGTATGGTGTTTAATATTTTATTTCATACTAGCTCTGGTTTGATCGATTCAATAAAAATATCATAATGTGTTCGTAATTTAGCTAAATAATTAGAAATTTCACTTACTACTTCTACTTGCAGTATTTAATTGGGGCAAGCATGCAAAACATTCTTTTTCCATGTAATAAGACAAATAGTGAAATAAATGCATGAATAGACGTAGAGTACGAGGCTGCAAAATGAAAAACGAGAAGTCTGTTTCAGTTATTACTAGGAAAGTTTCACATTCCATGAATATTCTAATTTATATTCAATTAACAATTCTGTTTGGTACTTTAAAGCAATATAGTTAATATAGGAATTTCCGTACTACATATCCAGTTCATAAGTCAATAAGTATCAATTCAGTTACTGTTGTAGCCGCCGTCCATAAAAAGTTTTTCAATGCAATTAAGTTTCTTCTCGAATAGAAAAACAAATTATATATGAACAGCCAGCGGAAAAGTTTTTAAAAAACATCTTCAAATACAATTTTCAAACGGGCAATTTTCTTATCTTGTTCGCTTGTAAAAAAGATACATAGGGAAAGAAAAATTCTGTGGAGAACTTCAAGTTTCGGCCAATTCAAATTCTGTTTTATCTGCTATTGTTCTATTTGTATACATTTCATCTGAAATAGAGAATACCAAGGGGAAATGTGAGTAGGTATCGATCTTTCGGATTGAACCACATTTCATAAATACCGCTGGTATGATATCGAATGTTATTCAGAAGCGTTTGAATTGCAAATTCAAATAAAAGATAATCTTGTTTAAAACTTGACAAATTTATTCGAAAGCACTTTTCGCGACAAAACATAATGCTAAAGTGAAATCTCATTTGAGTTTTAATGAGTTGTTTGCGAGCGAAACTGTCAAAAAGCTAAAGGAAACCGCTTGTAGTTTTAAGTGATAAATGTTAACTTTGCAGCGTTGACTTATTATTCACAGATTGAAGAAGAACGCGACATCTAACTTTTTCATTAATTTAAGGCAGATTTTTATTACATGAATATGATACATTTTCATATTCCATCATTTCATATTCCTGGCTTATAGTGAAAATGCAAGAAACCAAAGCGGTACTTATGCGGGTAGTTAAGACATAAGGGATTAGAAAGGTAACTTACGTCACAGTTAATTATAGCAAACTTGCTGCAAGCTTTATTAATTTTGTAATTTAGACAGCATTAATTTAGATACACTCACAATAAAATGTACATTTCGGAATATGGATCCCACATTTTATCGTTCGCTCGCTACATTATAGTTAGGAAATTTAATTTGTCAGAGAATTCCTTGCTGAAAAAGAGCCGGTGTCTTTGTTTATATTATCCTACCCTACAATTTTACACAATCGCGTTCATTAAGTATACATAGCGTACGATGTTCAGTATCGTAGAATATCTCCTGTAATTATTATTGTGTATTGTTCAGAGAGCATTATATTTAATTATGTAGCATCATTAAATTCAAATCCTTATTGATTCCTTAAAACTTTACCTAGATGACGTCAACTCCAAAAGATAGTACTCCTTTTCTTCTTTTAATCTACCTTTTATGAAAACACTTATCGCCTTCCACAAATTTCGTAAAACGCGCACTTTCACGTGTCACAAGAAAACAGCACATTGTCCTATGACCGAACACATCAAATTTACCACACATGCGCAACTTGACTAAACTCAATTTTAATACAAGAGCACCTGCAAATTCCATTAAATTTAACCGTCAAATTACACAGCCATTATTTAGCGCGTTCATCTGGTATAAAATATTCTAATCAAGGACGAAACCTTCTGCTGTGAAACAAGTCCTTCTCAAAACTATTTAAAAAATCGTCTGCAAATTTAAAATTATGCGTGTTACCGCAGCAATATAAAGAAAGGTAAATAAAACAAAAATTATTATGGTATGCCTAGCCTAATACCAGAACTTTGGGTTTACAGGGGACGAGTAAGAGGTTTTTGGCCAGGTGAAGGACTATCTTTAATTTAAAGGTACAAAAAACCCTGAGGGGGAAAAAAGTCCTAGACAAGTTAATGGTCTAGGACTTTTTTCCCCCTCAGGGTTTTTCGTACCTTTAAATTTTATGGAATTCGACCATGTATTGTTTTCGGTCGATCTTTATGTCGTAAGTTTCGTCGCTACAGGTGAACTCAAATTTGTTAAAGCATTACATTCTAGGGCCTGATGATGGCATTTGCCGAAACATGTCGCCATTGATTATTTATACCTTGTATTATAAATGAAATTTATGGGGAAGGTTTTGTGATCTTTGTTCCGAATGAGGATACCATAATAAGCATATATGCATATGCAGTGACAGTCAGGCGGCACTGAGGGCCTTGTCAACTCTTATCTAGGTTCCAATTTGGGCTCGCTTGAACACAATATAGAACATTTACAGATGAAACAAATTTATTAGACAAAATCATTCAATAAGCTGAAAGAAAGAGAAGCACACAGGGTTTATGAACAAAGTACCACACACAAGCGATCGATTGAAACAATTAATTAAAGAAAACTTATTTACTATAACGTGTTAATAATCCACAATAAATGCGACTTTCCAAAAACACGCACAAACACAAAACCAATTGATGTTGCTTCTGGAACTTCACTTCTCTACTTTCAGTGCGCTTGAATCTCGATTTAGATGGAACTGGGTTTGTTTGAATTACTGATGTAAGTTGTAACGGGTACTGAGAAAGGCTTCACATTATTTGTAAAATGCGTTTTAAATAAAAATAAAAAAGTACTTCACATAAGCGATAAACGCTCGAACGGCAACATCCCGAATAACATTTTTTAAACTTTCACTTTGAACGACGTATTAGATAAACTCTCTGAGAGCACAACCGATTTTAATCTAACACCTTTATTATCACCGAGACTGAACGTCTTGCAACAAAATACCATCAAACACCTCTTATTGCGATACACCACCAAAAAAATCATGATTCTTTTCAGCTTTCCGAACAATTTACTCCTTCTTTTCAAAATTATTGCATCGGCGAGAAACTGCTTATGTAACAAACTTAATTAGCCCACGCAGCGATAACGCTCTTATCGCAATGACCGGAGATCACGTGAGACAACTTTAACAGAACAGCAATTATATCTCAACAATAAAATAAACAAATTAAAAGGCGATTATCTAACCAAAATTACACATAATGAAATAAAGAATTCTAAATAAAATCAACAATTACTGCAAATTCAAATGATATGATTCACATTGTGTGTAATCTAAAGTTTTCAAATTTGAGCGACTACTTTTTTGGAAGATACACTTGACTGCAGGGCTTAGGTAAATACAACAAACTATGTACCGTATGTCCTCTACGTAGTGTTTTCTAACGGTGATTCACTGTATTTATGGACAACGAGCGAGTAAAATTGGAGTATAATTTCAAAAAATCGGACTCGGCCATCACTCGTTAAAGTTGATAAGGGAAACTTTATCGACACGAGTACCAAGGGTTGGAACCGAAATAAGAACCGATTGTGTTTATAGGCCTTCGCTTGAAACCGGAAATGTTATTCATGAAGTTATGATAACCGGAACCGATACCAGTACCGTTATTATTCTTCTGGAGATCTGAACTCCGAAGAGTAGAACTTATAGTTATTCACTAGCAGCAATAACGTTTAATAATTATTAATTGATACAAAATATCTCGAACTATAGACACTATTTTAAGTCGATTCCGCTTTGTTTTAAAATATACCATCAGACAATTACTGTCTTATATTTTTGCGAATAAAAGTGACATTTAAATAATTTTCACTTATAATTGCACAAGAGGTTTGTATTTTACCGAGTAAATTTGGGTTGTTTAGGTAATGAAAATCCGTTGCCTAGCAATTAGACGAGAAAAACTGTCAACTAATAAAAATGCGACACCGCAGGTGGAGCATTTTTAGGTTGACAGTTTTTCGAGTCCAATTGCTAAAAGGAAACAATTTGAATTGCCACAACCCAAATTTACTCGTTTAAATACAAACCTCGAGTGTAATTCGGCAGGACAATTTAACGAACAAGAAATTCACCAACTAATCAATTATTGACAGACGTCAAACTAGTCATATGGGAAAGGATAATGTGATAATTGGTTCGAAAATGAATAAGTGAAAAAACCACTAGTGCATTTGTCGCTGGAAAAGTTGCAGGTAACTTTTGCCGCTGTCAAAGTGACAATTTCACTGCGGCTTATGCGATTTTTTATACATGAGTTGAATTGTCAATATAAAGTTTTTATGTAGATAGACATTACACAAATGCCCTTTAAAGGCGTCAATGAATTTGCATTGCAAATGTATTAACAAACCGCTATGCGAGTACTTTTTTTTTCATTTTGCCAAGTAAAGCGCTCAAAATTTTTAAATAAGATATTCTTTTAATACCTACATACTGAATTAGAATTGCAAATTTCAACGAGAAAAAAAAACAACCGAAAAGCGTGCGGTATCAGTACGCATAAAGCTGTGAAATTTTAAGCTCTGTATACCATTTACTAAGGTGATAAATACTGCCAACAACGTTAACAAAAGCGCTTAATATTACTGTTAGTTATCTTGGAGGTCGTTAATGTTCTCAGCTTGGATCACCACATATGTTTAGCGACAATGCCGAGTTTAAAGTTCATTACCAAATCCTTCCTGTTGCAACGGTCTCAACTTCTGAAGCTTTAAGCACCGACAAAAGTGGTTTATTTATATACTCACATTTTTTTATAAGATAAATATGTAAGTCCCATCAGGACTCTTAGTTAGAAGATTTGAAAGTTTAATTTACAGCTTTAAATTATGCTTTTGATGGCTGTTTTAAGGATGCGTCTTTTCCCTTGCACTTAACAAGTTGATATGCACACAAATCAAATTCCGCAATGTTCTATTCGGCTGTAATTGTCCCAGAACGACGGAAGTGTTTTTTCGAAGAGAGATCTACAAAATAAGGGCAATATTAATTATAAATTTATTTTCTTCTTTTCAGTGCCGATGCGAGGTGGAACGTTGATCAATATTCATAAAACGCAAAGGAAAACGGACTTAATTTGAAAGAAAAGTTTCCAGAATTTCCATAGGAGGGTCATTCAGTTCCCTTTGAGATGTTTTTAGCAAACGAAACACATGAATGTGGTAGGGTGAGTGACGTACTCGTGTTCTAGGGTGGATACTTACGCTTCTCCCTCAAATAAACTTGACCAGCACAATTTCTGTCATCTTGACGATGAGCATCATCGTGAAGGAGCAGAATCACTCTGTGAGTAACTCAGACTGATGGCTCTTGACCAACTTGCGTAGGCGGAGTGTCTCACACAGCTATGGATGGATGGTGAGGGTCACGCGTTTCATCCGTTTTTATTTTATCCAATTTTATCAACAAGGTTACACTGTGCAAACACAATGGAGAAAAGAAGAGTGAAATGGAAAGTTGAAATGTTACAACCAAAACTGAAAGATTAATGATAATAAGTGAACTAAAATTCCCAAAAATACAACACACCAAATTGCTCAAACGACGACGTTTACCGTCACAAACGTAATCATGATTTTCCTAAAGGAACCGACCTGTGAAAATTAACTACATGAATCAGATTTGTATCACATTTATCGATAAAAATCTGATCTAGACGAAGAACTTTGGAAATTTCATTTTATTTCAGTGATAGCATTCCTTTGGTTGAATTCAAACTTTGCTGCGGGTTAAGGGTTGTGTAAATCTTTGAATATGGGAATGTACCACGTATTTATTATGTATGAAAAATGTGTTGCGCCCCCAAAATAGAATTCTTACCTTTAAGCAGTTACAAATATAGTCCACATAACTACCGAGGTTTCGCTTCACGCGCAATAAAATAACAGTCTAGATAAGGGGCCATGAAGGTGATTTTTTTATGATGATTTTTCGCCTGTCGAAAGAGATGAATTATTAATCTAATTGATGCCGGTACCCCCTAATTGTTCTAACGTGTATCATGAACAAGACGCAAACGAAAATGCACTCGATACATCTACAAAGTAATCCCTTACAGTAATAGGTACTGGAATGTTATAACAAAATTGGCAAGTAATTGCTTTTTACATTCACTTATGAAACAGAGAAGAGCTTTATTCTGCAGAGTGCCCTTACATCTATTATCTCAATGGAATGACAATATGCGTCCCATTAGCTCAACACTCAACTGTCTCGAGGGAAAAGTTTAATGTAAGTAAATACAAGAGCTGCAATATACTAAAATGGTGCCAATATTTACAATGAGAGTAATGAGTTGCAGTTTGTTCTATCATTATTTTGAAATTTACTTTAGAATATCACTCGAAACCTTTCAACATTATAATGAGTTATTCGCTGGACGTATTTCGTATGCCTTACATCCCAGGAGGCAAATCATGGGGACATATCATTCCCATATTCCTCAAAATTAAATTCTTAACCGAATTTCTGAATTGAAAGCATGAATTTTTTCAGAAAAATGCCGACTTTCTAATTTAATTAGGAACTAGGATTACCCACTCAAAACAAGGGAACTAATTTTCACAAAGGTGAATAACGGCGGAAAAATTAACAGTCGTGAAGCCATAAGATAGGAGTCTTGAAGCTTCGTTACCCTTTACTTAGTATGTATGTGATATTATTGACTAATCTAAATTAATATAATTAATTTGTGCTGTGAAATTATATAGTTTTTTGTTCGAAAAACTACTCGGTGAGATAATGATCGCACCCGAACGTTTTCCTATTCACAATTTCCTATCGCGGAAATCTGCCGGAATCCGCAAAATACAAAATGTTAATTTATCTCTGTAAAAGTACTTACTCGATATTGCGAAAGGCAGTAGGGAAGCCTTAATTAGCTAAACGCTCGTAATATATCTATAGATCGTAGAGAAGCCACTTTTTGTGTAGAAGTTTAATTAATTGGTCTTATTGATTTCGTTCGTTGGAAAATGACTAATCCGAAGCAGAGCTTTTCAAGGCACGACTCGGCGAATTGAGATTGGCAATAATATTAATAATCTAAGGATATACGAGTAGGATATACATTTCCGCTCAATAAAAATAAAAAGCTTTATGGAATAGTTTTTGAACTGAAATTTCATGTTGACTTCGTTATTTAAAATGCGTAAGAAAATATGCAGATCCGCTGTAACATTGTTAGGTAAAGGGATCACAAGGGAATAAAAGAAATGGCGTAGATGTCCTCGAATCTTTAAATTTGCTGCTTTAAAATGATGAAATATAAATTCGCGCATAATACGTTGTGGCTTTTTCTTCCCCTTTTTTCTATTTTTTTTTAAATATCTACTCGTAAAATTGACAAAACCAATTATTTACGAAATTAGTCTCTAATTAGCGCTTACAGAGATATGATTCTTGTACTTACCAACGACAGTCATGGGAGCTGCTCTTACTTCTGTGTGAAATAGGGGAGCATCTGCTGAAACTTCGCATTGGAAGACACCGGAAAGTGGTCGCGCTACTGAGAGCAATGTCACCTTTCTGGCGTTCGAAACTGAAACCTTTAAAGAAGAAACCAATTAGTACAGTATAACAATAAGTATACTAAAGCATAATAATTAACATTTTTTAAATGGAGTTTCATAAAAAATAATCGCCTAAAGCGATTTTTTTCTACCTAAAAGCTTTTCAGTATAAATACAAGCAAATACTCGATGTTATTATATTTCAACGTAGGTGGCAAAAGGGATACGTTATTAATTAACGCAACCCCTCACCATTTCAATATACTTATTAGCGATTTTAAAACATCTGAAAAGTGGTTGCTGTTGGGCAAAAGCCGTCCACACGTTGACGGCGACGTTGGATTTTTCATTTGTAGTTTTTTTCTTTGGTTATTTATTTTTAGTTTTTAGCTTTCAGTTAAAAAAGTTCTTTTGAGAACTGCTACAAAGCACCTATTTTCCTATGAGATCTACCAGCTTTCATGACCACCCGGTACATGAACGTTAGCAGGCCATTATTTGACACATTCTAATCAGACGAGGTTTGTTGCCAAACGTCTGATTAACTACCGCTACTTATACTTATTTAATTGACCGGATTAAAATTATAAAATTTGGTAGTCCAGTAATGCCCATTGTTACATGGAATATAGGGTCAATCACAAAAGGTCTGCGATAATGCAATAAAGGGCACGACCATACAGTTTTAACGCTCGTCTTCGCTAACTTTTGAAAACGAAATGTGAAACAGAGATGCAGGCTGTAGTTTGGGCAATTAAGAAGCGTCGATTACTCCTGCTTGGACAACCATTCTAGTCATCAAGCATGCCTTCTCGGATAAAAGCAAAGAGGACGGGCCACTTAATGGATGACCTCATTCTTTGCGGCCGCCGTATCTTGATTCCTAGGGCCCTCCGATCCGCCCTTCTGAAGACGCTTCACAGGTCTCATCAAGGCCAAGAGCGAACCCTCCGCAGAGCAAGGCAAGCTGTATTTTGGCCAGGAACATCTAATGACGGGAAGAATGTTGCCTGCAGTAGTAGGGAATGCGCAGCATTTCTCACATCACACTCAGAAGGAACCACTGAAGTTCGAACCCGCCATCCATTTTTCAACTCCAAAACGTCACAGTCGACTTATTTTCCTATGTTGGAAAAGACTACACATCCCTGGTTGATCGTTGTTTCGTGAGCCTTTTATAATGTATTTTAATTTTAATGGGGCAAAATCGAATTTTATTTATTTATTTAATTTATCTTTTGCCTTTACTTTTGAGTGGGTGGGGTTTCAGCCAAGGCTGCTCTACCAACCCAACCCACCACTATACATTTACAAATATCCACGCCCGAACCCGGATTCGAACCAGGGACCCTTAGCACCACAGTCCAGCTTTAACTGAACTCAGTAGCGCAGTATTATGAGATGCATGTTGAATGTTGATCCCATTAGAGGGTTGGTTTCGACGATTTTCAAAGCCATTGGCGATCTATATTTCAAAAGTCACTGGATTTCTAATGCGTCATGACCAGTTAATGGCCTGGGAAAATTACCAGCACCAGTCTGACAGGCGTTAATACGATCTTAATGTGAATTTCGTGGTGAAAACATCAACATCACTATGCCCCGGAATAATCACGCGGCTTCGTGACAATCGCTGGGTTGCAGTTTTAGAAGCGGGCGTGGGTTTTGATAGATGGCCCCCTAACACGTGCGTATTTCGTTGGGATAAACGAATCAGATCGGCTAGTGATTCAAGGTGACCGATTTAACCAAGTAGCGCCATTCTGTGGCGTATGAAATTTTCGAATTTGTATTTTGTTCAGCATCGGAAGATTTACACATGTACCGGTTCATAGCGAACATGAACGAAAATATGTCTGGCGATAACAAAGTACGTCTTCGATAAAAGTGTGCGGCGCGAGATAAGCGAAGAGAGACCGGATTGTATGGGGGTTTTTCGGCAGACGAGGTTAGTCTTTTGAAGAGTTGACCCGTACCAAGTGGGAGAGTAGCCATTTTAAGCTGGTTTTCGAGGGCGAGTATGGTTTGTGAATTTTTCACCATTTTAAATGCGCTGAAATTAAATTTTCAGTGAAGTTATAAAAGCAACCGGGTATCATTTCGTGTACTAGAAATTTTTATTTCGCTTATGTGTGAAGGTAAAATTATATTGAGTTACGAGAACTAAATATTGGGTTGTGAAAAAACGTGAAAAACTTGCGAGTTCCCTGTAGTTTTAATTGCGCGTTATAACGAGAGGTTAGCCAAGTTTATAGTAAGACCATTTCTACGAGCTGGTCATTTTCAGGAATTTACATATTAATTTTGTTTGAAGTAATTTTGATATTCCTGAAGAAATCCACCTTCAGAACCCTTTGCATGGGAAGATTTGTATTGTATTTATTGATAAAAATCAAATCCAAACAAAAGATTTTGGTTATTTTGCTTCATTGATTGGAAAAATCGCATTTAATTTCAGTAATACCATTCCTTTGGTTGGATTAAAATTTTGTTTAGCATTCAGAGGTATATGTATAGATATGTTGTACAGAAGAAGGCACCGGTAATTCATTATGTGATAAAGATAAATTAATATTTCGATAAGGATGAAATTTGGCATGGACACGTGATCGCGCATTTTTCTCTTTTACTTTTTTAATGAATCAAACTCATATTTTATATCCAGGTACAACTAAGTTCACATGTGCATTCATTGAATTCAATCAAACCAGAGTAATAGATTTTGAATTCCATATTTTATAAGGAGCGCCAAACTTCCGCAAAATATAAAAAAAAAATGTATTACTGGGCTAGCCGTGTGTAAAATAAAAATTGATGGTCATCTTGAAATTTTTGCCAGTACCGCAGAGGTTCATTTTATTTTATGCAAGAGACAAATTAAAAAAATAGTAGGGACTACATACGTAAATTACGTTCTAAGTAGGGCAGAGTATCAACTGCGTGGCTAAAACTAACAACGCTGCAGTTAGTCCTTTGATAGCGGATAGCGCTACATTTGGCCCTTCGAGCCGGATGCTACATTTGGTCCTTCCAGCCTTTCAACAAATGGATGCCGCGTTACAATAAGTGTTCCGGTGCCAGTAAGCGCTGGTCCTTCAAGCATTGAAACGAACTGGTGCCGCGTTACTACAGGTTTTCCGGACCAGTAAATGCTACATTTGGTACTTCAAGGTGATTTACAACCCTAACGGTACACCAAATTTAATATTTTTACCCTAAAAGGTATAAAAACTGTAGCAGCGAGCCGCTTTTGAGAATCACCTGGTGTATCTATGTCCTATGGGCTTTGTCATACTGCGTCCTCTATTACCTCTATCACATTAATACGCCAAAAATCTTTAAACATTCTACTCTTTTTTTTAATTATTCAACAAAGTAAAAGCTACACATTTCGGGATATGCCACTCTCCCTCAAAAGAAAGGTTGCACACTAAACACAAATTATTAGATACTGTTAGTCTACTTTTAACTTCTTATACTGTCTTTGTCCCAAAAGGCCAATGTAAAAAACGAGAAAGTAACATAAAAATAGCAAGGTAGGTACATAGGTAGATGTGTAAAAGTATAATATCTATAGCAAAATTTGGTAGCAAGCAATAGAACGTATTATGCCTGCGGTCTTTTAATTTATGGAAACTTCAGAATGGCAACCGCAAATACGCTGAAACTATCACTCAGTTTTGTTTATTTCTGAACAACATCAAACGAAACTTTCAAATTAGAATGTGTAATAACGGGCGCCTCTACGTTACTTTTTTTTTATTTCATTCGCCTTTTATAGTATCTTTTATTTGTCGTAGAATCGTTAATTACGACCGCTGGCAATGCACAAGACGCGCGCAGTTTTTATTGTCCGAACTTGTAATGGTTATTGTGGTCATTTGTGCAATAGGCAAAAAGCTCCCGTTCACCACTTCTCGAATTGTGTTAACCCGGTACATTGCGTTACGTTGTGTTGTTACCGGTAAATACAGGAGAGTAGTGACTTTTTAAATTTAAGATCAGATTTGGGGCACAGTCTACATGTGGAACAGAATAATTTCTCCGTTTGCAAGAAGTGACACAAGAAAGACCTCCGTGATAACTAACGTTATTAAAACCTCCGGGGATTGCAAGATTAATGAATTTCTAGGAGGTTTTTCGTTTCATTGTAATTTTCATTTTGTTTTAGCCAGATTAGCGCCACCATTTCACAATTTAAAACTTCTTCCACACTCAATAGAACTCATTTTCTCGATGGTTATTTTTCAATTTTATTCATATTTTAATTGTTATTGTAGATGAGGGAGAACGGCCGTTCTTTTTTTATTAAGACGAAATTAATCATCTTTTATCTTCCATTGGTCCGTAATTGAAAGTAAAGGGCGTCGTTAACCTAACAAACTTTATCGGCACTTCTTTCTGTTCTAATTATTAATTAACCCTTATTTTGTATTAGTTTCAGGCTTGTTATAAAAAAGAACGTTTTTTATAAGAATGCTGGAACAATTAGTCAGTTTAATTGGAGCAGTAGAGAGTGTTTCACGAACTTAACTGTAAATGTACAATTCTCCAAAAATAAATAACGTTTGTTAATGAGATCTCGTTGGAGAAATCCCTAGAAAATCCGAAAGAAAAATATTATCCTTAATCAAGCTTAAAAAGAAAATAGAATTAATTAATTTAGTTTATCCAATAAACTGACGGTTTGCACCTTCTAATTAAGAAATTTTTCCGAATTTAAAATAAAGAATTTGCTCCTGCTAGGCTTTCGCCGGGACGAATTTACTAACGCGGCTTTTAAGATTATATATGCAGAGTCGGCGCCTTTTTCCCGTAATTTCAGGGGAAGATTTTGATAACTTAATAATACAGTCTTTGTCGTTAAGGTGTACAGTAATTTCTCTTACGAGGGAAGGTCTCGATAGCTCCTGATCTGACAGCAGCTGACGGTTATTTTACTGGATCTAGGAGAAGGATCTGAATCTGTCAACCGCATTTCTAACTCCTTAATTCCTATTTACATATTCTATGTCTTTGAAACCCCGGAAAGCATT